CATTCACAATTGAACTATGGAGTGGGGGTTTTCCCTTTATTTCCTAAGAGGGGAGTGGGAAGGAATTTGGTTTGACTTGGGAAAACTTTGTAAATATATAAATGAAAATACATTTTGTGGTTTTGGGAAAAGAACACAAGATTATTGTCCACCAAGTACAGGAGAAATATACCGTGCCTTAAAAACTTTAAACATTTCTGTATAATTTTCAAAGGTCAAATTGCTTTAATTCTCTATAAGGCCTTGTTTTTCTTGTATTTCAGCCAGCATTTTCCAGTGCACAGTAGTGATTTTTTTTTTCCTTTCTCCCCCTGTTTTTTGCTCAGTGTAAACAGTTCCTTGCTGTGGTTACACAGACAAATATAGCAGAGAATCCTTTTCTCAGAGAAGATTCTCCCTGTGCATTTTTTAACCATTTTTGGGAAGAATTGATCTATTTGTGCATGCAAGAGAGGGAGGCAGTAGCTGTAAATTGAAGTGACATCATATATATTACTCCCATTGATCCACTTTTAGACTAGAGCCAGGATAAAAGGAAATGGCATCAGGGAGGAAGTATGCTCATTTAGGCACAGATCCCAGTGTGATAATGGAGTAATAATAGAAATCACGCCACTGTCAATCGGTTGCTGCATTAGTCTGAGGCAGATTTCCCCTCCAAGGAGGCTTTCAATGACTTCATTCAAGTGCAGGCAGGAGCAAATGGGATATACAACATACCAGCTGTACAACTTCAGTGATTTGTGTCCTGGCAGAGGGGTGCAGTGCAAGTGCTGGTGCTGCGGATCAACTCAAGTAGATATATCTGTGTCACATTTCATGGCTGAAAGGTCAGTAGTCAAATGTTTCAGTGGCAATTCTTTTTCTAGTATAAAGGGGAATCTGGCATTTATTGCGTTTGTTAATGTAGGAATTGATAAATACGCTCTTTCGTGTGGGTGGTCTTCTGGGATGTGAGATTGATGACCTCTATGGCTCTTACACCAGATCTCTGAAGAGGAAAGATTTGTTTTCTTTGTGCTTTCTACACATTAGGGACTGTACTTTGAAAATTCATAATTTTGTTCAAAGATTATTTGTAGAAAACCTACTAATCTATTAAGATACTCTTGTAACACAGTATAATGGCTTAAGTGTTTTGTGTACGAATATGAATAAACTACAAAGTATGCTTTTTTTACTTCCAAGAGATTTCGTATACAATGAACATTAGTTATATTTTCAATTTTTTAATGTTTTCTGTATTTCATTCATCTTTCATTTTTCAAATACAGAGCCAGATTTGATATTCCCTATCATTTACAGTTTGTTTTAAGGGTAATAGTCGCTTTACTCAAACTTTAAATCCACCACATCAGGTAACTTAGGGGAAGCAGGGGACAAGTTGTTGTTTAGTGGCAGGACAGTGAACTCTTTCAGAAGGCTGAAGAGTTGGAGGAGCGGTCTTACAGTCTTAAGGGCAAGATAATATATACAGAGCTGGGATACAGCTTTATAGAGGGGATGGTGTTTAATTACATGGGACATGACAGAAAACCTCTAGTTTGGGGCTTGATCACAACATATTCATTTATATCCTCTTTGTAGTGTCCATAGTCACAGCTGGGGGAGGGCCAGCCCTGAGGAAAATAGTATAATTTCCATACAGCAGGCATAGGTTGGGACAGGAACTATCTACTTTACAGGATAAATAGATGCTGTTACAGCAATCGTTGTCGTAATGAAAACTATTTCTTGATTCTCACCACATTTCCTGATTGATCTGCTTTCATAATTGCATATATTTGAACATTTTGATTGAGCATTCTCTATTCTAGTTCTGAGTATGAGGGGTTATTTTTATTTTATTTTAGTTCATTTTATTTTATGAAGAGCACTGAAATTTTGCATTTACAGTGTTATAGTTGTTTTCTGAATGTTTTCAGCCTGAAGACAACTTGAGAATGTGACGATTATCCTGCTGTAACTTGCTGTATCTGTGTTGTGTACTTTTCTATGGGTGTTAGATAGTCAATATGCATTCACAGACTGTGAGTTGTTGTAAAGGAAAGTGGTTACACGGTGCCTGAAAAGAAATTTACATTTAGGTCTCTACAGTATTTATGTTTACATACTACTTAAGGCAAGGCCCTCTTTGTATTAAGTGTGAGACAAACATATTGAAAATTGACAGCATGCACCCCAAACAATTCTCCTGGTATGAAAGATGGAAAGTAACAGGTGGGCAGGACAAATAAGGAGGATGGTGGTGGGAAAACAAAAAACAATGAGAGTGGGGTTTCTGAGAGAAAATTCAAGCGCAATTTTTGAAGCTTATTTATAACCATTAAAGGACTGCTTTTGTGAGAATGATATGTTGTATAGGGGGAAAAGAAAATGTCTGCACCCCTAAATGAACTTTGTAGCAGCTGGTGTCATGAAAGTCTTGGTGCAGTTTTCAGTCTCTTGGCCTAAGTTAGGGTTAAGCAGAGTCTCTTTTATTGAAAGGAAAGGGTAAAAGCGTAGATGGGAATGTTCCTCCTTTTGTGTTAGAAACAAGTTGGAGAACAAACTGTAATAGCTGTGCCCACGAGTGCCTCTGCGGGGAGAGGTCCGCCAGCAGCCAGCGTTCCCCTGCCAGCGCCCCACCCTCTCTGCCGGTGTTCACTAACCCCTGCCCTGGTCTGTAAGCAATCCACGAGCTAGAAACTGGTATGTAAGGTATCAACTTGGGCGGCTGAAACGTGGGAAAATAGCAGAAGCTGTGGTCTTATTCGTAGAATCATAGAAGATGCTGAGTTTGAAGGGGCTCACAAGGATCATCGAGTCCAATGCCTGGCCTTGTACAAGACACTTCAGTAATCACACCATATGGCTGACAGCATTGACCAAATACTTTGTGAATGCTTGGTTTTGTTTATTTGTTTGTTTTATTTAGTTTTTGTTTGTTTGTTTTACTGACTCTCAGAGTTTAACCTGTAGTTCTGAAAAAACTTCAGCCATGATGCAGCACTAGACAGACATAAATTAAGGGCATGGCTGCTGCTCTGCTGTTGCTCTTTTGTTGGCTTCAGTGAGATTCTGTGATGCTACCTTAAACAATAGCTTTCTGTGGGTTAATCTGTGTAGCAGTTATACTGCAGATATATTATAAAATACTCAGCTGTTCTACGTATTCAACTGTTCTATAGCTTCTGCAAACTAAGTATTGTTCTTCTGTCTTTCAGTTAGCAGTGAAAACTGTCTAGATCAGAAGTTACCTTTCTTTGTGTGGTGTTCTGCAACATTTTGTATTTTATTAGTGTTCAGAATTAATTCAGTTTCCAAGTAGAGTCACTTCCCGGAAGCTTTCCCTGTTTTATTTTTTAACTTGTCTAACCAACCCCCTGGCAGCTGCTGTTGAACTCCCTAACAAGCATTTAAGCTTCCATTTTAGTAATTGTCCTGAAATGAAATATTCAATATTTTTAAATACCTAACCACTTTTAACAATACCATGTAGGCAGGCTTTGGTTTTTCTTACAAAATGTTTTACTAAGAGCTAGTAAGATGTGAGGTATTTTCAGTCTTCAAGAATACAACTTTACCAATAAAAAAGTGGAAAGCAATCAAAATGCAAAGAAACCAAAGCATTATCATAATAGAGATGCCCTTTCCTCTTTATTCTGATTTAGGTACTAGTCTAATAGAGAAGAAAATGTCATGTTGCTAAATTAGTCATTAATGTAGATATTTTACAGATTAAGGCTTATCAGAAGATCCTGGGTATCTTTATGGACTTACTGTCTGAGATCAGGAGTCCAGTCTTGTTCAGTCCACATAAACAGCCCTGGCTGTGGGATATGTTGTTGGAAGAGGCATTTCCTATAGCTGACTTCATTTCATCCTTGCTTAGTGCATTGACGCAGCAGAGCAGACATGGGCAGGCAGCAAGGTGGGAACAGAAAAACACCAAATGTGGTGAAAGCTGGAAGTACTGTCAAAGTAGCAGAATGTCTTTTTTCATTAGTCTGTCTCAATAACATTAGAAGTCAGCAGGTTGATTTCTTTTTGTATGCAAAAGCCTTACTGACATTCTTCTCCCTTTTCCTTTCCTCCCCTGGTGCCCTGCAGTGATGAATAGAGGGGAAAGTTTTGGGACATATAACAAACTTCTGAATGATCACCTTGGAGCCTGAATTTCTAAGAGATTTTTTTCCTGGCAGCTGGTGCAATTTCTCTCTGAGCTCTGCTTGAATTATTTATTTGTTCATCCAATAAGCCTATTAAACAGAGCACTTAAGCCTTGGCTACAACAGACTTCTTGTGCTTTCTTTTTTTTTTTAGGTTACATTAGGTTCCAGTTCAAAATGATAGGTTCTGGAGTCAAGAAACTGACTGAAACTACTGAATATATATCTGTGTGTAGATGCTGTACTGTGTATGCCACAAATACACCATTCATGCATATTTCCCATGAAAGGATGGATGGTTTGTGACTCATTGCACTAAAATATGCCTCAGAATGTGTTTTTGCAGCAATTGTTTGGTGGGTCACTTATTTGTGTTGTGTTTCTTTGGTCACTGTAAACATATCATGCAAATAAATGCTTGTATATCAGATAAAAACACCACTCTAAAAAATTATATGTTCCTATGTCTCATTGATTACTCAAATTATGCACTGTAAATTATTCTCTCTTCAAACCCAAACAAAATAGAATTACTTATTTTATACATTCCATAAAAACTTACTTATTAAGCCATGATTATATTTCAAAAAGATAAGCATGTTTTAGATCTGACCTAACCATAGTAATGGAAACCATGGAAAATGAGTCCTAATTGTGCTCCAGCACAATCTTTCAGAACACAGACACATAACCCCTGAGGTTTTTCAGAAACCAGCTAGAGGTCCAGGTAAAAGCACATGCTGGAAGTACACAGGTTATCAGAATCTTGTCCTCTTTGGTTTGTTTCAGTTTACATTGCTCAGCCAGTAGAGATCTTCATTCACACATGGCACTTTTTTTTTCTTTTAGCTTCTCCCTGACCAGCTGGTCTTACTTCTGGAGTTCCTTTTGGAGGAGAAGACATTGTGTCCTAGAATACTGCAGAGCTTAGAGAGAACATACCAGCTCCGGGAGCAAGATGCCGAGGTGAGTCACGTAAAAACAAATCTCTCTAATGTATGCCACTGTGTTGTGGACTAGGAATAACAGTGTTCCACGAGGATCCAGGCTCACTGGAGTTTGGTTTTTTTGCATGTCTGAATCTGAAACTGGATGATCTTAACTCCAGTATTCTTGCCACCTTCATGTGTCATAATGACTCTATTTTTGTGTGTTTTGCATACTGTGGTAGTAAAGTACCCAGATGTCCAAACTATTTTACATGTACCTTAGTCAGCACATTTGTTCAAGTGTTAAATTTTTCACTATGTTTTTCTGTGTAGTGGAGCCCAGTTTGTTTTTGTTCTGATATTGTCTCCAAATGTAATCATGTCTGTTATAGTCTAAAATTATTTTTCCCCATTGTCAGCTCATATTGTTCCTCTTTGCGTGCCCCAAAGTCTCACTCAGGATTTAGGAAAGTTAGCTTTCTGGAGAGATTATAGTGTTTTCTGGTTTGGAGCCTTAATTTAATGTTTTTTGCACTTGCTTCTACTAAGTGCCAGTGACATTAATAGCCCCCAAGGAAAACACTGCTTTATGTGATATTATAAAGGGTAGCATCCCTGCTCCAAAGTGCTTTATATCTTTGGGAGGCAAACAGTAAATCTTTATTACCACATGCAGAGAGGACTCTTTTAAGTCCCATGGTTTTCTCGAGCTGGGAGAGTTTTGAGAATTAATGCAGAAAAAGTGGTAGCTGAAAGCACCCTTGTAACCAGCCTTTGCTTCAAGTATGTAGTATTCAGGAGGAGGTAAGAAAGCCAGAGATGAACATAAAGGAGTCTAGAGGTGTGTATGTGTATATATATATGTGTGTATATGTATAAAACAAGGGTTAATTATGACGTAGCATATGACTAAGCTACTGTGCAATGAAGGAATATGGTGAACTTAACATTTGGCTCCTGCTTATTTAAAAACTGCGTTGCAGAAGGTTTCAGAAAGCTAGTGCGTTTGACTTACCTGTTATTCTTGGAACTTTGTGGCAGTTATTAGAATTGGAGGAGAGAGCAAAATCTGTCTTGTTACTCTTACGGTGAAGCTGCTGTGTGGATGCTTGGAAAGACTTGGAAATCCAAACCTTAATGTAACGATTTATAGAACAGATGTTTACCTTTTTCTCAGAAAACAAACAAACAAACAAACAAAAAAGAACAACATTTCAGTTGCTGCTCTTTACTGCACCTTTTTACTTTTTGTTGATACAGTTTTCCAAATGCCAGATTTGCTTTTAATTAGTACTTGAACCAACATTTCTATTTATAGATATTAGAATATATTTTAATCACATCTGAATACCAGTGAAATGTCAGTGGTTCTATTATGGGAAGAGGAATTAACAGGGACATAGATCAAAGCAATAGCTGTGTTGTTGTTGCTGTTTCATGCCTATTTATTGTAAGCACCAGGCCACAAGTTTCAGTTTCTCAGATTTTTCTTTCCTCTTCACTTTCATGCTTTCTTTTTTCCTTGCAGTGTTAACGTAAAAGTACACAAACAGTCTATCAGAATGTTTTTGTGAAAAGCCTCCACAAACCCTCAAGATTAGGACCTCTATGAAATGAACATAATCTCCATTTTATTTTACAAGGTGAAACTAAGGGCTTAGTAGACAACTCACTTAGAAGTACAACTAAGATAACATTACCATTAGCATTTTACCAATCATCAGACCCCAGGCACCTACAATCCTTTAAAGGGAGCTAGCTTCCATGGCCTCACCTACCTGAGGAACAGACTGTTTGTGCCTCATTCTCAGGTCTGTGCACAGGGGATTTTTGTTGTTGTGATCCTGGGGCACAGGGAACTGCAGTCTGAGCCTGTTCTTGTCTAGATTTAATTTGTGGATACACAAATCACTTATAGTGATCCTGTTGTATTACCAGAGTTCAAATGTTCTCAGTAGCTAAACATCAGAAATGGATTAGTAAAAATAAAAACAAAAAAAATCTTGCATGCAGGCCAATAAAAACAAAACTGTCAGTTTCAGAGGGTTTATGCCAGGATTTTTGGAAGTGAGGATGTCAGCTGTGTTCCATCCAGCAGCAGAAAGTTAAGAAATGAACTTGTTTTCTTATTTTTGAAAAGTAGCATTTAAATTCACAATCATCTTCCAGTAGGGATAAGCAATGATAATAGCCAGTAGTGTAAGAGGGTACATACACAAAGGAGTGTGTTTTTTTAATGAAGTTTGGTCTTAAAATTTGTACATAATAATTTTGAAGATTATTACTGGGGGTCCATTTATCCTGCACAAGTACAGCATGGAAAGTCCTTATTTATATTTCTTAAAGCTGTTCTGTTTGTGTGACTGAAGCATCTTTATTTTGACTTTAAAATTGACCATGCTTGTTGTAGTAAAGCATTGTACACCTGGTGGCATCTGCACCTGCCCACAGCAAAGTGTAGGTCTGTCCCCAGCTAGTGAAGCTGGCAGCAGCACTGTTTGGTACTCCTGACCATTTTTTACCATGTGCACATCCAGATTTAACAACCTAGGGGTACATGTTGTTTCAGAAAGGAGTGGAGGGTTTGCAGCAGGTTATCTGCCCTGTGTCAATTCTTTCTGTAGTCAGGAGAGGAGAGAGGTCAGAGTCAGCCTTGGCCTGGAATGTAAAGGTTGATCTCTCTTGAAGAGATCTCTGCACGTACTCAGTGCAGTTCCTCTGCTCTCAAATTAGGTTTCAATGCAGATACGTAGGCTCACTATCTATCTTCCTACTAGGACAGACATTTGAATGCTTCTTTTAACAAACAAAAAATAAATCATAGGTTAAGTAACATATTTGTGATTCATAATGCATAATTTTGGAGCCACAAGAGCCAGAACTGCTGATGGCTTAATCACATTTCTGATTGGTCTGCCCCCAGTCTTGGATGCCAAGAGAGGCTTGTAGGGCATCTGCCACATTGCAGAATTTATGATTCCTTTCCACTTTTTGCAGTCCACTTCTGTAACAAATAATTATTTCATTTTCCATTTACTCCTCAAATCTTGGAACATCTGTGAAGACACAAATCTACAAATCGTTTTCAAAAGATTAAATTTGTTGATCTGAGCTGTTTGAATTGAGCATATCCAAGAGATCTTTGTTTTAAAAGCAATGAAGATTTCAAAGTTTAAAGCCATTTTTCCATTCGTCTCTCTGTGCCTTTAGCCCATTGTGGCTCAGCCAAGCAGTGTCAGACAAGTGGAAAGCAATTGGATTATGTCCTCAGCTTTGTCTTCCTGTTCCCCCTGTCTTGTTGCGCTGCTTCCCACTACATAATAAAATAACTCATGCACAAGCTACATCTCCATGACATACCACATCCTGCATCAGAGAGTAGCATTATAGAAGCTGGCTGCATTTTGAACATGACAAAGTCCAGCTGTAAGTTCAGCTGGCTGAGGAGAAATAGGATATGTTAAAAAGCAGCAGCTACAGTTGCCATCAGACAGCACAGTGGGATAATGAAATTTAAAGTGGTTCTGGGGTTGTTTTTGTTTTGTTTCTTTCCAAAGTGGCTGTTCTAGGCAGCTGTTTCGTTTATTCAATATCTAGCATCTGGCAGAATGTGGAGAGTTGGTCTACATGGAAAGTTTTGGGTGTCTAGTATTTTTAAAATTTGTCCAACCTCTTCTGATATGACAATGCAATCTTAGCTCATTTGAATAAGCTATTGAGAACTTTCATATAAATAAAGTGGAGTCAATCATTTACAAAAGACAACATCGTGAGATCTGAGTTAACACTCAATGAATCTCTTAGCTAGATGAGCCCTCTCATTACTCCCATTATTTCTGTTCTTTATTAGGCCAAAGGCCTGTAACTTGTACGCACACAAGGACACAGAATGACTGAGTAGCCTGCAAAATAATGAAAAATGTGACAGGAAGATCACAGCCATAGGAGAAGAACAGTGGGTGGGGCACTGTTCAGTCCTATCTAAGAGTTGATGCTTTCAGTCCTATCTAAGAGTTGATGATATCTCTGCAAGTGTGTTTTAGTTGTTGCTAAATTATCTAAGAAGTGATGATAAAAACTGCAGCATGTGGATGAAGCAGAAATATTTGTGGTGTACTTTCCCAGATTTTTCACTGTAGAGTTAGCTTTCTTTTCTTTCCTACTATAGACCTCACTTTTATCTTGCCTGCACAGCATATGGGAAGTTGCTTTGTTGTGTTTCCTTGTCTCAGCAAGCAGACTGAAATGCTCATCACTTACATAATGCTTTCCCTGTATTTAGGATCATAATGAGGTATATTTTGGGGAGAGAAGAGAAACTAGAACTCTTTCTGCAGTAAATGTGAGCAAAATGAGTTGAGATCATAATATCATCAGTAATGTGGGTGGCATAAAGCTATTCTCACACAAATACTTAATTGTGCATGAGGTTGTCTGTAAGACCAAGGCTATGAAGGGTGGCGTGTTATTTCACTGACAGAAATGCAGTCATGCTAACACACACCATCTAAGGTGCTTGGCTTCCTAGAAGTGGTGAGAATTCTGTTAGGACAAAATAACTTTGATTCATTGATTTTCCTAGCCCGTGAAAAGCTGGCAGATATGGAAGTACAAATGAATTCTTGTCATTTCCCATCTGATGGTGACTGTGTTGAGCTGCGCACATTCTCAGGTTACATAACTCAGCTGTCCTGTTGATTGTGGATGGGCATTGTTTGAAGGCACGCTTATGGAATAGAGCTCTGTAGACAGCACTGGGTAAAACTGGGTAGGAAAAGGGAACTGCTTGGGAAAGGTCAGTGCACACTTGAAGAAGGCCCTTGGTGAGCTCTCCTTTCAGCACAGCCACTGGGCCAGGGCAGGGACTCAGAAGCAGTCTCCAGTTTTTGAGTACAGTTAGTAATATATTGCAAATACTTCCACAGGCTTGCCAGTCCTTCCTGACTGTACTGTGATAGCAACAGGTAGGCATGTTTCAGATAGTGGCATTGCAACCACAGGGGGAGAACCATGGTTCTTTTCCTTGATTGGTATTGT